CCCCCCCCCCCCCCCCCCCCCCCCCCCCCCCCCCCCCCCCCCCCCCCCCCCCCCCCCCCCCCCCCCCCCCCCCCCCCCCCCCCCCCCGGCCGCCGCCCAAAGGGTTAACTCAAATAAACACTAGGAGTACCACTTTACTCTTTTTTACCAAGTGATTAGTAATAAAAAATTGATTACCTTATTACTTATTACTTCTTTCAATTTTTCAACTTTTTTCATCTATGTGTGAGTTTTTCAGAAGATTCTGATGTAACTCATTAATTCTGTGTGAGAGTGTGTATAATTTGTCTTCTGATATAAAATAAAGAAAAACACAAACATAACATTTTCCGTAAGTGAAAACGCTTCAGTGCAGCCAGTTTACGGTTTCAAGATCTAGAAATCTGTGGCAATCTTCGGGCATTTTTGTATGCTTCACATGGTGCATGTATAATAAAAGTAGCTTAATTTTTGAATGTATACTCGATATTTTCAATGTGAGCATGAACGCTTTCTTACGATATTTAAAATGTTTAATATCTCAAGAAAATTAACAATTAGGAATTATATTTTATTGCATATATATGAATTTGTCGACGAATCGGGACTGAATTCTTCAGACATTTAGTTATTTTAATCAAGATTTGTGTACGGTTAGGTAGTTTCAATATTTTACAGTAGTTATCTTTTGTTTGTATTATCTTTTACTCTTGTTGTAATTTCCTAATTTATTTACGTGAATTAGTCAAGAATAGACATTTCAATGCGACTATGATAGAGCGAGATTAATAAGCATTTATTTCTGATCAGGAACAAAAATTAATGCATTAGGTTTATAGAAGGATGCATTTTTAAAACAATGCGAGATGGATAAAAACGTTCAGTTTTCTGAATCTTTTTACAACAGAAAAAAGATCTTTTAGTAAGCGATAATAGTAGACCTCATCATTTGTTTTGGAACGACGTATTCATTACAATTATTGTGATTCTGAACATATATTTATGGATGGCACATTCAAATCTTGTCCATCAGCATTTGCACAGATATATTCCAAATCACGCATTGCCGCCGGTTTTGAAAGGTACAATTCCTTCACTTTATACACTGTTACTAGATAAAAATGAAAGCACGTACGTGTCCTTATTCAACGAGGTTAGAAATGTAACAGTTAGAAATAATCTTTTATTGAAGCCAAAATTCATCACATTAGACTTCAATTGTAGAAGAATGTAATGTTGACTTTAATCGATGTTTATTCAAAAACACTGCAGGAACCAGGTTTTCAGATATAGTATTATGAGGCTCAGGATGATGATCTAACAACCGTAAAATCTTTGTTTCAGTGTGTTGCTGCCGTAGCGTTTATGCCTTTAGATGGAATCGACGAATTATGGTGCAACGTAATCAATGATTACTTGGATTTGGCCACGATTAAACTAGTGCATCGACAACAAACGACAGCGCCATGAAACAACATATATGTGAATAGAAATGCCTATATCCTTGATTTAATGAGTCCTTATAACAAGAATGCATTGACCTTAGACGATTATTTAATTAAAATTACTAAAAGGATTGGAAAGAAGAGCAAGAAAAATGATGCTGCCGATAAGTGTGAATATATATTTTGCATGTATATTTCTAATTTATATTGTGTACACTTTCATATTCAATTTAATAACTAAGTATTATTCTCTGATCTTTTTCTACTGGTCAGAAAGACTACTACCTAAATGCGACCGAAATTTAAGCCAATTAGTATAAAAGTGGTCGCAATTTGGAACGAGTAAATTTATATTCTTCTATGTTTTCAAATTGCGGCCACTTTTTATTTATTGAGTAATCGACAATAGTAATTTAAAATATAGATATATAAATTAGTTTTCTTTTTAGAAAAACGAGAAGTAGAAACATATATAGGAAGAACTGATGACTATATGTTTATGTAGTATATATGCGCAGCTATGAAAAAAAGCTATATCGATAAAGAATTTAGTCTTCGTCACTACTATCTCAGGCACCACTATATCTTTGCAATGACTATACATGAACATCAGAAGAAAATGATTAATTAATTTTACACGCTCTGCGAGTTGTTCCTTCTTCTAACGTTCGCGTGTAGTCATCAGTTCGTCTTATATATGTTTCTACTTCTAGTTTTTCTAAAAAGTAACTAATTTATATATCTATATTTTAAATTACTATTGTCCGATTACTCACTAAATAAAAAGTGGCCGCAAATTGAAAATGTGTAGAAGAATATAAATTTTCTCGTTTCAAATTGCGACCACTTTTATACTAATTGGCTTAAATTTCGGCCACATTTAGGAAGCTACGGTTAGAAATGCATACTTATCGACGAGTTAGGAAAATAAAAAGTGTCGATGAGTCAGGACAATTATTTAGATGTCGACGAACCGGAACGATACCATCTGAAGGAAAAGATAACATACGATAGACAAAACATTTCAAAATAAATAGATCATTGCATGATAAAATATAATGTTACAATACACACGATAAGAACAACTTCAAAAACTAGTGAAGCAACAGATTAAGTTACTAATTGATTAACAGCAAAAAAAATAACACTTACTAAGCTTGTTTGAAACGTTTAGGTGAACTACACTTGAAATTTTCACTGAGTTCTCGCTGTAAATGATATGATTTTTGTTTAATCATGTTTAATACAACATCACGCAACAGTAAACATGTTCGATGTTTCTTTTCATAATCGGATATTTTTAGCACTAATAATTTTTGTCCACTATCATCCGTCAAATGTTCATAAACGCAAGATAATGAGCCTAATTTTTTAATTGTTTCATGAAAATGTGTACCACGATCTTTATCAATGGTGAATTGTTGTTTTGATTTTGTTGAATCACACAGAAATAAAATCAATGTCTGACAGTCATTACAATCACAGTCGATACTTTGTGCTTTAAAGATGATAGGTGGCAGTGGTTCCAAACAATATTGATTTAAAATATTGAAACAATGCTCATGTAGTGTGAGGAAACAACTTTGTGCATTTTCATTCGATCGATAAGACTGAAGTTTAAGAAGAAATGGAATTAATATTGGTTGTAGCAACTGTTCAACGACATCGATAGCACGAGAACATTCAAGAGATTCAAGAATTGACGATGTAATTAGTTTAACTGATGATAGATATCCATTGCCGCATTTTAAAAGTAAATTTAATAACGAACATAATTCAGATGTAGTCGGTGGATTAACAGCTGCTTGTTTGAAAACAAATGATAAAAGTTCATTCAACATACACGATATTAAACTAAATAATCCTTCATCTTTATTTGTCGTTGTTGATAAATCAAGTAACGAAATCAGAAATTTAACTATATTGGTTATTGTTGATTGTCCGAGGGTTAATCGAAATGCCTCATGAAATGCAGGACCAATATTTGTCCATGATACAAAGTTACCAAATTCATAGATTTTGTCTGCTGCTTCTAATAATTGTTCGACAAATAATTTATGTTTCATAAATTTTTTTATTACGTTCATAACAGAATTATCATCACTGATACCCAGTGTTCTCTGAATACTGCATAATATCATTAAATATTTCATTATTTTCCCGAAAGTAGTCACCTATAAACGATGTCCAGAAGAAAGCAAGAATTTTCACACTTCATCCACCCTCTGTCCTGTTTTGTTCGTTTTTGTTTATCTCAGAGAAAAATGATATTGATTAGTAGTAAGAATTTTGAGCATTTCTTAAAGTTATTGTACTGAGATTTTTTAAAATAACGAATAAGATTTGATGACTCTACTTTCATTCATCCTCTGACTTCTCATAGATCTATGCAAGGTACATTATAACGAATTTTATGGTCCTTTTTACTTCAAGACTTTCTTACTTGTTCTCTAGAAAGCGTTTAACAATTTTCATCAGAGTTTCCGATGCTAGTCAAAGTCCAGGAGTTCAAAATTTGAAATTTCTCTTCGTTTTTCGGATCTAGTCAACTGTAATTTTTATTAACACAGCATTGCAGACCTAGACTGGAATTCGGCTGTGTAAACGAAATTCATCAGCATTTCGATGAGATACTGAAAAATTCTCAAAGAACCCGTTTAGGAAATGTGTCAGTTCTTCGTAAATCTTTAACACATTCTCATCTAAGCTTAAAAATATCGTACATCAAATTTTCTGTAATGCTTTCCGTAAGTGAAAAAGCCGTGACAGGACATTTCCGCGAAGACTTGTTTATTGGAAAAGACGAACAAATGAGCCTGGTTTTGTATTTTGTATATCATGTTTTGAAACTTCAATGAAGTTATGTGGTTAATAGTCATTCTGTCATACAGTTACAGATATTCAGTTTCATTGTTTATCGTGTTTGCTCTATCATTTTACGTAGTTTGAACAAAATTATATTCACAGGTTCTAGGTGCTGGAAAACTAGGGTTTTGGTTTTCTAGAAAACTCTATTATGGGGAATCCAGTGATGATTTTTAGTATCT